GGGGGGCGGGCAAGCTTGCAGGGTATACTCTTTGGTTGGTTGATGATGCAGGGGATTGTAACCATGGCAATGAAATGATAGATGATAGGATGAATGTAAAAGCAATGTTCTCCCATGTAAACTATCACATAATTCACAATAAAACATAAAAAAAAAAAGTTCATGGAAACCTTCAATTATCTTTTAATTATATGCAATGTGAACCACAAGGTTAGCAGTTCAAGCTCACCAGTTGCTCCTTAGAAACCCTATACAGGGTCGTTATGTCGGGACCTACTCTATGGCTCTTAACAAAAACAACAATTAGCATTTTAGCCCTACCAATTTGGATTAGTTTTTTAGTTGTTTCTCTAAGAATTGAAATACATGTATGTAAGTTTGCATAGTTCCAAAGTCAATATATTATCAATTTACATAAAATATTGATACCTTGCAGCTGTCTTTGCTGATTTTTCACCTCCTGCAATCTTTTCTTCACTTAGTTAGAAACACAGTTTTCTAGTTGTTGTCCTAATGCTGAGCAACATATATTTTGCCTTACAAATATGTTTTGCTTTTACATCTGCTTCAGAGCAAAAAATTGGCAATTCAGATCATAAATGTCCACTAAAGAAAACACCTTGATCCCCTAGGCCATATTATTGTTATGGCCAAACTTGCACCCTGTCAGAGGCCCCACCTAGAGTGGATTACAGGTTCAGGGACTCACCCATGGCTTTCACTGACTATGAAAACAAGGACTGTTACAAACTCTTATTGAACTTGTCATCTCCTATCTAACTGTGGCAACATCACACTATCTTCTACCCTGATTTGTGCTTGCTGCTGGCTTTTAAGATTGTTGTTGTCATTATTAATGCCTTTAAGAGAAGAATACTGTAAGTACCATGGACTGCCAGAAGAACAAAGAAATCTGTGTTGGAATACCAGAATGCTCCTTGAAAGGCAAGATGGTGAGACTTCATCTCTCATACTTCAGACATATGATCAGGAAGGACCATTCCCTGGAGAAAGACATCATGCCAAGTAAAGTGGAGGGTCAGTGAAAAAGAAGATGACCCCCAGTAGATGGACTGACACAGTGGCACCAGCAATAGGCTCAAGATTAACAATTATGAGAACAACCCAGGAATGTGCAATGTTTCATTCTGTTGTGTATAAGGTTGATATGTACTTAATAATAACAAATACCATGACCGCTAGAAGATTTAACACGTTTTTTTTTTTTTTAAGAAATATGGCCAGATTGTTCTTTGAAAGTGACAAAGGTAAGACTTCATTCCTAGCACATTGGACATGTTGTCAGGAAGGACCAGTTCCTGGCAAAGACCATCATGCTTGTTATAGTGGAGGACCAGCAAAATAGAGGAAGAACACCATCAAGATGGATTGACACAGCGGCAATAACAATGGATTCTAGCATGACATTTGTGAGGATGGCACAGGACTAGACAGTGTTTCATGCTGTTGTACATAGTGTCACTAAAAGTATAAACCAACTCAACAACACCTAGAAACAGCAGCAACATACATACACATATATAAGCTTCACTGGTTTTGATTGTCTAGAAAATCCAGCCTAAAACAAATGCATTGAAGTTAGCAGCAATGAAAATCTAAATTGCCCTATTGTTGGCCTCCTACTAATTGTTTTCTTCAGAGGTCTTTATGTTTTATTAATGTGACAACAAAACTTAGTTTTATTATGGTACTTATTACTGCATGTAGTGAGTATTATCACTTTGCTAAGATGAGACTTTTTGCTCATGCAAAGATTTAAAGCCTTAGAAACCCTACACAGGCTCACTATGAGTTGGAACCAACTCAATGGCATTTAAACAACAAGAACAATATATGAGTCTATTCTTGGGGGTTCAAAATCACATATATTGTTTTGAATAATTTGTATATAAGTGTAGAAAGTAACTGTCTTAGATATGTAGTATTGCTGTACAATAAATTCCACAAGTAAATGGTTTTAACAACCAGAAATGTATTGTCTCAGTTTAGGAGGCTAGAAGTTCAAATTCACTAGCTCCTTTCAATACCTTTCACTATATCCAGCATTCCTTGGAGATCTCCATGTGTCTTGACATTAGTGTTTCCCTGGGTCTAGGAGTTTCACAGGGTAGACACCCTAGGTCAAAACGATGTGCCCTACTCCTGGCTCTTCTTTCCTAGTGATAGTTCTCTCTCCATTTGTATCTCAAAAGAGATTATTGGCTCAAGATACAACCTAATCCTGTAGATTTCTCCAATCTCATCAATGTCATAGAAGTGAGGATTTACAACACATTAGATAATTACATCAGATCAGGGCTGATCACATGAAATCATATCATGGGATTGATGGTATTATATTTCTTCATGGAGGTGATAAGTACATCTTAACTGCTAAATCTCACTATTCATCTGTCAGTGTGGTATACTATGGTGGCTTGTGTGTTGCTGTGATGCTGGAGGGTACATCCCAGTATTTTATATGTGGGCAGGTTTCAGTGTAGCTTCTAGATTAAAGAAAGGTAGACCACTAGGAAGAAGGAGAGGTAGCAACTGAAAACCTTACAAATAGCAGTGGAACATCATCAGATAAAACACTAAAAGATGAGCTTCTCAGGTTGGAAAACACTCAAAGTATGAATGGGGAAGAGCTGCCTTCACAAAGTACAGTTGACATTAATACCAAGGATGGAAATAAGCTTTCAGGACCTTCATTTGCTGCTATAGCACAATGGAAAATGATAAGAAACAGCTACAATATCCATTAACAATT